ATCGTAAATGAAAAGAAAATCTGATGTGGGCACCACATGACTGACTTCCTTGTACGACCTATTATAAATTATGCACATTTTTTGCTGCCATTTAAACTTATTTACTCGAATTTCATTAGAAATAAATATATCATTCAATTAATTCAGTTCTCACTTCGCGGCAAGATAGAAATACATAAAAACTCAAAAAATCTTCATTAAAAATTTAAAAATATAAAAGAAATAAAACACGAAATACAGTTAAAACAGTTTTTACAATTAAAATTAGAGTTTTACGCAAAAACCAGCAATTCGGTCAGTGTGCGGAAGGCAGATTTTTCGGTGCACAAAACTGAAAGTTTACTTTTGGTCCCACTCGGCAAAAAGATACTGATAGTGCAAGAACTGAATTAATTCACTATCCTGCTAAGTTTCAAATGTAAACAAATGGCTGTTCCGTTAGGCTTAGTCGCACTTTAACAACTTTTAAATTGTTCATAATTCTATAGCTATTGCAGGCAAATTAAATAAAGGCATAAAAACCTTAACCGGAACATAAAAACAACAAAATTCAATCACTTTTAAAGAAAAAAAAAAGCAAAATTTACCAATATATAAGAATGAAAAAAAACTGAGCTCACCAAACCGAGTAACTTAGTGGGTAAACTCAGCTTACCAATTTGGCATCATCATTCTTACTTGAGTAAAAGGCGAAACACCTTCGCATTTATTAATTATTGGTAATTAATAGGGGTTGGTTTGTTCCCCTTGAAAAGTCAACCAATTTCCGATTAATGACGATAATTACTTGGTTTGTTGATTCCGTTTTCATTTTTAAAAGTTTCCAATTTTTTCATGATTCATATTTGATGTTTCTTTATAAAAAATTTTCAAGATTAATTTTTAAATGCTTCTAAGTTACTTCATTCAACTAAAATTCTACCAGTTTTCTCAAAGGAGATAATATACTCAATTTTCCATTAGTAAATAAATTATATATGTATGTATATTTATATACGTTTGGTGCGGCTAATTGCAACCAAAAAGGGAGGTGCTCAACTACATGTTATAGCAGTCCCATATACAAAATTTCAATGTTCTGAGGATAGTATTTTTTGAGTTATGCGAGATACATTCGTACGTACAGACGTCAACGAAAAAAATTTCTTCTGAATCCACTTTAAATACACTTTTTAATCCGTTTTGGGGAAAAAAAAGATCTTTATTCTGTTCGTACATACAGATGTCACGCAAAAACATGTTCAGATGTATTTGAGAGGGGTCAAAATGGATGTCTTGGTTGAAATATGATACTCGAAATTTTTCGAGGTTACAATACTTCATTTACTTCGTACAAAGAAGTAAAAAGGTCGTTACGGTTGTGAAGTGCATTTTAAAGTAACAGGTTATTGGTGGAATTGGTTTGCAAGCAATAAAACTAAATGGGAATAGCTTTTCGGTGGAAATGTTTAGATTGGATATCATCAAAAATCGCAGGAAATACTATATTCTCGGTTGCAGCTTTTTATGGCATATCCTGTGAAAATGCGGCACATCGAAAGAGGCATAAAAAGTAATAAATCATTCCTTGTATAATCGTGACATATCATTAATTAGACAATGTATTTTTGTGATTTAGTTTTCCTGCTTTGCTATTGTTCGTACGCAATCGCCAATCATGTTTTACAGACGGCTTTGCCCTGCGGTCGTTTCAGTCCTGATTTTGACGATGCGTACGTGATGTAATGCAAATCCAGAAGAGAAAATAAACCTACGAAAAGTCGTTAAAGTGGGTTGGTCTTGCTCCATTCTGTGGCAACATCTTCAAACTTCGTAATGTGCCAGTAATTACAGGATGCATTACTTTTTTTACCCTTTTAGATTTGTGGTTTGTTGCATGATTTATTCCACGAACTGACGATGAAATCTTGTAGAGCTAGGATTAAGAAATAGCTATCGAATCGTCTTTTCGAATGGAGTTCCTTGAATAATACAGGGATATTTCTCTCCTTGATTCTACTGGAAAATAAAATTAAAAATCATTTAAAAATTTTATAAGACTTAAGATCAATGCTATCACGCTCATAAAACTACATATTGACAATGACTTGCATCTTATTATTATTTTTTAATCCATATTATTTAAATAAGGTATCCAAACTTGCAATTCCGATTATACGAGTATAACTATAATGCAGTTGAAATGCTACGGTAAAACACATTAGGGTTATCTGCTTAAAGGGTGGGATGTATTCATGGAAGACTTTCTAAAGGTCTTTTAGGTTTATTAGATTAAGCACATCAGGGTGATCTTCCTAAGAGGGGGAAATGAAATCTTGGAGAACTTTCTAAGAGAAATCGGCTCGTATAATTTTATACATGATGCTAAATCAAAATCAGGTAATATATTTCTAGTACCTCCTGTAATATCGTTTATGCTTAGTTTATCCTACAAAAAATTTCGTGCCTGTTTGTATCGAAATTTTCCATTTTGACTTGAGCTTTACATTTTTGCTCAATAATGACTTACAATAATGCTTTTTCTTGCGCAACGTGTTCGAGATATTTCAATAATATCAACGACAATTGTTCGCGGATAAAAATTTAGCAATGTTTGCTAGCAATAGTTAGATTGTATCAGTGAATTTAACTTCCGAGGAGAAGTTTTCTGTCTTAAGTTTTCTGAAGATTAATTCTGGAATTAGTAAGCCTATTTTAATTGTTTAGCTTTAAACTGTTTTAGGTGTTAAATGAAATCTATATTCGAAAAATCAGATTGCGGTTTCTTTCCCCCCACCCCCACCCAATTAATGATTTTCTTAATTTTTTTAACTTTCTGAAAATTTCTTTTTTGAGGTGTTGGACTTTAATCTGAAGTTTTTCAGACTGTAGTTTTGTTGACACTTTTTTAATTAATTTATAAGGTATTTTCTCCTTCCTTTCTGCATGCCTTCGTGGTGTAATGGTTAACACACTCGACGCGTATTCGCGAGATTCAGGTTCGAGTCCCAGCGAGGGCATTGCTCATTTTTTACGTCTCCCATATCAAAAATACCTAATGTCTCTAAAAATCGAATGAAACAGTCTTTAGTATTCGAAGTAGTTATTTATTTATAATTGTCTTACTTCAGATTTTGTAATTTTTTTTATGTGTATTTATAAATCTATTCACATCTTATCATGTTAGTACATTTTAGTTTGTGTGTTTGGCGAAATTTCATCATTTGAAATAATGCATGCAACAGGTATGTTGCAACATACTTGTTGTATACATGTATACAACAAGTATATTGAGATTGCTATGTTGTTTACATTGTGTTATGTGCCTCCTTTGGGTGTTAATGATGAAAGATAAATTTTTACTCGATTCGTTCTGATTTTATGGAGAATATTCCAACGAATGAAATCCGAGGGTCTTGAACCTTCGAACGAGGGTCAAACCCTCGAGAGCTTTCAGATTTTACTTTCTTCTATTCCGCAAAGACTAGTACAATCACATGCGCACATATTTCAACCGAAATTCAATCTAGAACCTATCATTGTGTTGCCAGCTACTGTTAACTCCTATGTCATCTGATGCAGTGTTGCCTGTTTGAAACTGTATTGATGTATTTTTCTTTCTTGGCTTTACCAATACAATTGCTTGTAAGGTAATCATCTAAAAGCTACAGCAAAGGAATTCTCTCTATTTTTTTAAGATGCAGTGGTACTGTACAGTCATTGATTTCCCCCCCCCCGAAGCAACAATTATCCTGATGTCTAATAATCTGATCTGATATTAAGCAGGTTCTTGAATAAGAAAAAAGATAAATTATGGTAAAATCTTCTTAAAACGACCGTCGACAGCGCCATACATTTTGGTCTTCATTAGAGGTTGACATCTTTGAGGTGATATTTTATTTCTCCCGCCTTCTTAGCATGCCTTCGTAGTGTAGTGTTCTGCACGGTGGGCGTGTATATCCAGAGGTCCGTGGTTCGATTCCCGTCGAGGGCGTTGCTCATTTTCCCTCTCTCCTGCTTTCAAAAAATATCTAATGTCTCTGCAGTGGCGCCCGAACTAAAAGGGTGGTGGATGATGATTCTCCACACCAAGGATTTGTCGACTTTGTCCCCTAAAAACCCAAGTCACCCTTTAAAAGGGGAGGAGTATATAAGGTATTTCTCCCGCCTTCTTAGCATGCCTTCGTAGTGTAGTGTTCTGCACGCTGGGCGTGTATTTCAGAGGTCCGTGGTTCGATTCCCGGCGAATGCGTTGATCATTTTTCATCTCTCCTGCTTCTCTCCAGCGGAGGATGAGTTTTTGGATAAGTAGTCCTTATTCTGTTGTAGTGTTTATCCAGTTATCTTTCAGTTTGTTTCTTTTAAATTGCCGGTTGTGCCAATTTTGGCGGTACGGCTTATTTTCTTAGATTAGATCTCTCCTGCTTTAAAAAAATATCTAATGTCTCTGCAAAGTGTCATCCTATTTAAGTCCTTGTGTAGGAACTGCATTTTACGAACGTGTTAAGTTATAATGATATCTCGTAATTATGTTATTTATGATGAGAATCTCGAAAAGTTCCTACGCATTTCGTTTTTCCCGAAAGTAATCATATTAATGACCTCAGTGTTTGTTTTTTTCTTCTGTATTGAGGTGTGGTACCCACAATTAAGTGTGTTGTGTATGTTTAACTAAATTGTGCTGTGCTAAGGTTTGACATTTCGTTTATTTTAATATTTGATTCTTGGAATAGTTGTTCTTTTCATGAGTGGGAGACGGTTGTTTTGCTGCCCGGGGGAAGGTTTTATCGAAATGGTGCCACTGCTTTACAAACGGGGGCAAAGCACTCGTGACGTCACACATTGCATCATTCTCATTTCTCGGAACAAGCTACCGCATCCGCGGATCTATATTATTCCGCATCAGTCCATCCTCTTTCCGCGAACCCTTGCCGTCGATAAGAATCTAACGAGTTTGGATGCCTCCCCACCCCTTAACATAATGAGCAACTAAAAACGAGTTATTCATATCTCGGTTTGTTTTTGTTGTTGATGCATTCCAGTCTCAGAATTTGTCTGGAGGAAGATTATAGAGCTGGCTTACGAACTCCCTTGCTTGAACCATCTTTATTATTTGTTCGTTTGTTTTTGTCTGATGATGGTATCCCTTATGATGTTTTCCATGACTTGGTATGTTTTACATTCTTTGTTTGAGGTCGGTAACATTTATTATCGAGCACCTTTCAAAAGCCGAAATCGAAAGAGAGAACGCCATTTAAAAATAAATAATTTAAATAATAGTCCTTCAGGGCAAATTGCCGTTTGGACTTAGAAAAAAAAAAAAAAAAAAAAAAAAAAAAAAAAAAAAAAATCATATTTTAAATTAAGTCCGAAGGGGCGTTTTTTTAACATTTTGTGTGTTACCTTTATTTATTAAGTATCGTGTTCTTCGCACTTAAACCATAAAATTCAGTTCAAGAGAAATGTCGCAAAATAATTTTAAATTGAGCATATCTTTAGAATTTCCGATACACAGTTTAGCGCCCTGGAGATAAGCATGTTTTTTCTGTACAACCTTGAGTTTGTTAATCAAAAGTTCCTTAAAGTTTTTCAAAGTATGAAATCGATAATAAAACAAATTCTAAATTTCAAATTTGGGCTTCGAGACGCCCATGTTTGCAGTAGAATTACGTCATTCAAAATAGGATGGATCTGGATACCGTTGTTTTATCACAATGCGAGAAACATACATACATTTATGCAGATTCTTCATAATTTAATTTCTTCAAATATAATACAGGGCGATAATATTTGGTGGCAACTGTTTGGAAAGTGAACCGGACATTCAGAATAATTCGAGGCAAAATCGCAAAACGAAACCAATAGTCTCTCAGGTAAAAGTCCCTTTGGACTAATAGTTTTTGTTGTACTTCCATTGTTCTTATTTCGTTAAGTCATTTAACTCTGTTCCTGTTTATTGAATTATTTCAAAATTCGTATTGAGAATATTTACAATCAAAATTAAATAAACTTCTCTGCTTTATGCTATTTTTTTATAATTATCAAAAACATAAATTATTAATGGAATGTAACAGATATAAATCCTCTTCTGCTAAAAGAATTTCGTTCAGCATAAATTGTGTGACTCTTAGTCTGAATAGCACAGATTTTTTAGTAGGATATATATATATATATATATAATTTATTTCCTAAACAGTATTGATTAATTGATTATATTATCTCCTAAGTTTAATTAAAGTAGAATTATTTAAAAGTGTGCATCCATACTGGTAAGTTATATTTTGAAAGATGTTTTGAAGTAATTTGAAAGCAAAATGTTAATAATGTTTTAACGGGGACTGGAGTTAAATCATCACGAAGAATAATATTACAAATGTAAAAGTAAAAATTAAAACATGTAATTATTGTCATTGATCGGAAATTAGTTGACTTTTCAAGGGGAACAAACCAACTCCCGTTCAATGATCAATAATTGATAAAAATACGTAAATATGAAAGTGTTTCGTCTTTACTCGAGTTATAAGTTAAAGCCAAACCGGCAATTCTAGTCAGGCCAAATATTTCCGCAAATAGTTGTTACTCAAAGAACTTATTCTCATGAAGCATTTTAGTCAATTCAATTTGGAGTAAAGATCAATTACCGTAGAGAAATCCTGTAAACTCGAGTAATCGTCCCCGACACTATCATCTTTATGTATTTGAGTACTATATTATTTGTAGAAATTAAACATTGGAAATTGTCATTATGAAATCGAAATCAAAGTAAAGTTGAAATAAACATAGAAGAGATTATAAAAAAGATAAATAATGCAAACTTTGTAAAAAACAAATCAAAGAGAACATAAAAAATAATATAAAAAATAGAATAGAAAATAATATAATAAGATCAGTGAATGTACATGAAGATATAAAGGCCAGAAAGGTATTAAGTAACTTACATTCTTTCTAGTGGGGGAGTTGGCATTGTGTTCTCTTCGTGTCTGACTCAGAAGTGTAGGGTGTCCGAAAATTCTTAGCGGCAGTAGGGGCTTTGAATTATATCAGTGGGTAAGATTTGGGTGAAGAAATTTATGGTAGTGGGTGGGACTTGGAATTCTTGAGGTATGTATTTTGTGGAGTTCTTATCTGAGAGAGACCGTCTGTTAAGATTTTTTTAAAAATACTAGTGAATGGAAATTAATTAATTTCTGGCTAATTGTCGTGCCGCAATGATTAAGAATTTAAGAAAGGAAAAAGGCATTTTCGCTGTCCAAGAGCTAGTAGACAGTCTAAAGGCAGGAAATAGGCCCATTTTTTTAGTAACAGTATATGTCTGAAGGACAATTAGCTTTTTACAATATATACAATTGAGTAATTACACTATATACAAAATCTTTCAACTGACAGTCATCCAACTTATACCGCCTTCTCAGGTTTAGGAATAAATTATCATATCCCTATCAGTTAAATGATTAGAGTGAGAGTGAGTATTTAACGCCTGCTCTTTTAAGGCAATGGTTGATAAATTGAAAGGGAATTAGATTATTTTTGAGAATTTTGATAAGGATCAAAATTTCGCGTTGTAAATCTATTGTATCTGTGCATATAGTTTTAATTCGCTGTATTTGATTAATTATAGTATTGTTAATTACTTTTTTGGATATGTTGGAGTTCCAATTTATTAATTTGTTAGTATTGGCTTTAACTTATAACTCGAGTAAAGACGAAACACTTTCATATTTACGTATTTTTATCAATTATTGATCATTGAACGGGAGTTGGTTTGTTCCCCTTGAAAAGTCAACTAATTTCCGATCAATGACAATAATTACATGTTTTAATTTTTACTTTTACATTTGTAATATTATTCTTCGTGATGATTTAACTCCAGTCCCCGTTAAAACATTATTAACATTTTGCTTTCAAATTACTTCAAAACATCTTTTCAAAATATAACTTACCAGTATGGATGCACACTTTTAAAATAATTCTACTTTAATTAAACTTAGGAGATAATATAATCAATTAATCAATACTGTTTAGGAAATAAATTATTATTAACTAACTTTGCAGCAATTGCGCAAGTAATAATAACTTGTATTCGCACTAAATGGATTTAAGTTCATACAACATTATGTATATATATATATATGTATATAAAATAAACAAAAACATTCAAAAATACAAAAATACAAATATAAACAAAAACATTTAAAAGATATGTGACAGTAGATTATCTTTATCTACTGTCACACATCTTTTGGATATATCTTTTGAATGGATATTTTTTGGATATATCTTTTGGAATCTTTTAAATACCTTTGGACATATCTTTTGAATGTTTTTGTTAGATAGATAATAAATAAATAATAATAATCTACTGTCACATATCTTTTGAATGTTTTTGTTTCTAAACAGAGTCAAAGCTATGTTTATATTTTTATTGCAAATCATAATTATTTATTCTTAAAGTTTCATAACGGAATGAAGTAATTGCAGATTAAATTAAAACTGAGTTAATAGGTAAAATAATCGTTACTTCTTTTTTGGTAGATTCTTTTTCGTCTGCTCCAGGTTCTTTTAAATTTCCTTTGGACATATTGAATTTAACTTCAGTCATCGTATTTTAGTTCTGCATTGATACAAAATTTGATGACTTCAAAAAAAGACATATGAAATTTTAAGACACCTATTAGGTGCCTCCATAATAAAGTGACCACCACTTCTGGCGTTAGTAGTTTGCTGAGGACCTGCCATTGATGGGGGGTTAAGTTCGTATATTTTATTATGAAGAAATACAATTTTTTTGAAGTCCAGTTTATATTAGAGAATTGATGTCTATAGAAATGGCTAAGAGTAAGTTCATATGTTTATTATCGGGTTTTAATTTTTTTTAATATGGCTTTTAACATTCACAGAAATCTTTTAAGCTTTCATTATAGTTTCTATAGACGAGTACGAGATTTCTAAAAGTTCTTCTGTAAAACATTTATGAGAAGGCTTCAAAGATTGTTAATGTAACGGAAATATTCTTGCTATTATTCCTTCCATATACATGCATTTCTCCCGTTTTTGAGAGGAAGGGGATTATTTTTATCGATTGTTGCAATTCTGATCAAGTTATAATCACTTTTAAGGTAAAACTGATTGAAAATAAATCGCGTATAGGTAAAAAAAAAGCTCTTTATTTATTTATTTATTTATTTTGAAATTTGGAGAGTTCGTGACAGCATCCTGCTCAAATCAATAAACCCTGTATTTTATAACTCAATTAACTGCGTTCTATTTATTAAGCATGGAGTGGATGAAATAATTGTAGGAATTCAGACGATTTCTGCAAGTATATAGTGCAGCCATTTTCAGTTTCTCTTAGGGCTTACGTCTGTTTGTGGACGAAAAAGGCTAAGTTTAGCTTCTATTAGAAACAAAATAACCATATTAGCCTCTTAGCATTTAAGTACAGCATGGCGCAATGTCCTGCAGTACTAGTGGTAAGTAAGATAGTTAATTCTTTTCATCATAGTTCATGAAGTAACGCAATCATGTTAGGCATGTAAATAATTTTGAATTCCTTAAAGAATTTTCTACAAAAGAAGCTGTCATTTGCTGTGCTTATGGTGCTAATTCTTAAAGTGGGTCCAAAATTCGAGGGTCTTTTTTTTTTTTTTTTTTTTTTTTTTTTTTTTCCTCTCTCAGAATTTTGCCCCAAGCTTTTGTATTTTTGTTGTTTTGTTAGAAATACAAATAGTTCTAAGAACTTCGTTATATATTGTAGTATTATATCAACTGAAAGTTTAATTAATATGAACTATATTTAGATTTTGTTCTATCGTCCACTTTCTCTCAGAAACTTACAACTTTCCTTTTACTAATAGTCATATCTTCTTGTTTTTATTGAGTAGTGCAGCTGGTTGATATAGTCAAGTTGTTCTCGTCATTTATGCGAAATTGCAGGCATGTACTATCTTTTAATGTCTTATCATATTTTTCGCACTGCACTGCAGTTTACTCCCAGTTATCCCAAAGTCTGTCGATGAAGGCATCTCTACCTTTAGGCAGTGGGATGTTTTGCCCTATCCGAATTTAACCTAACTATCCTCTTATCCAGACTCGTTTAACTGGGCCATATTTTCCATAATTTTTCGAATTTTCTGCATATGAAATTTTCTTTGCAGTAATTGTCAATTTTA